CCTCTTAGCGCTCTCACCTCTTCTTCCTTAGAGTTTAACTTCGTCGGATGAACCATCATTAAAGTCAATGGAGAAAGATAAACATCGTTTAGAAAATTTTCAATTATTAATATCACACTAACATTATATAAAATATTATTCAGTCAACACTGCTGTCTCAATTTGTTAAGCTAAGGAATTTAATTTCACCTCAGTACCCAAGTTCCACGCCTGAATTAATAAATTTGAAGACCTTCAACATCTAACAAAAGTGAGTGCACACATTGAACCCTGGCATTAGAAGCGGAATGTTAGACAGGTGCGCTACTTGTGTAAATGTAGGGTAGTCTCCCTTATTGTCCCCCTTATTCTCGGTAGTGAAAATCTCTTCTATGTTGGCTTAATTAAGGCATAGCGAAAGTAAAATGTAGCAGCCAGCCTAGTTGCTGACCGTCGAAATCAAGCAAGAGTTACAAGCTATATACAGAAGAAAATCCATAATATAATAAATAGGAGAAATGAGTTGAATTTGTTAAATATCTCTTCTGAATTCGCATCCTGTTTTCCTCATTCCTTTGACACCACCGCACCCTTTCTTAATATAGCTTTGGTATAGTTAAATCAAATTTACTCTTGAGAATTATCCACCTAATTAAGTTCGTAACAATCTTGAGAGGACTTTCAAGCTTTTAAACACTATTTGCTGATCGAAATGTAATAGTTCACGTTATCGAATACCTTGGTAAAGAATTTTAGCCTCCAACTCGGTGTCATTAAAACAAGTGGAATTAGTCCATGACCACTGTCTTCGTGCTCAGCCGCTACTGATGATATTCTCCATATGCCTATCTTGTTCTGTAGAGCCTCAGCTAATGAAATTTAGGCCTTCAGCTTCATATGGAAAGTTAGTTCCGAACTGTGGACAAGGATCCTAATGTCTTAAGTTCAGTACTGATGATACCCAGAGGTGTAAAGAATCATATACCTCCCCATTTTTCCATGTACTCGACACATTAATACACTCAACATCTGCGCTTATTCCGTAGTTACAGCTCACAATGATTTATCAATCTGCACTGCACACCAAAGCTATATGGTTTCTCAAGAAGTTAAATGCGATTATGAAGAATTAAATGGAATTTAAAGCATTTGTAGGGTTGTATTCGTCTATGTTAGACGTCAGTTTACAATAAAAACTTATCCACTCATGAAAAAACAGACCTTCGGTCTCGTTTATTAAAATGATCACAAATATCGTAGGTGTAGCACTTAATAACTTTAGTGTAGGAAAACAAACTATTCTTTCAGGTTATGATTTGTAGGTTTTCTCAGTTCATAGTATCTCAGTAGGTTTCACCACACAAAGTCTTACATTTCATGACCGTTTTTGTATATTCCAAACTATCCTCTTCACATTCACCTGGCTAGTTTAACACTGAAACTTTACACAATAGGGCGCAGAGTAATTTGACACACTACATAATAACGCCCGGGTTGGGGAAAGGGTTGAAATGAAACCACCGTAGACGGAATGTGCAAGGGAAAGAACAGTTAAAAGATTGCCGTTAAACACTTAGAACCTAGAGGATAAAAAGTTGTGAATACGTCCCCAACATTGTGGACTATTTTGATCCATATCTCCGGTAATCTACGGTCAATTAATTTTGGCTTTTTGGGGTCCCAGACAAAAAAATTCACCTCGCTTTACTCATATCTATAGTCATTGATTTCAAAAAATTGACTGCACTCTTTGTCTGGCTATTTCTAACTCCCTCCATACTGAGTATTATTTCAGTTACCATTGGTCGGCGAGGAAGTACGTTGCTCGATATGCCATGAGAATGTTCTAGCCGCTTCCATCGGTGAGGCTTAATAATCTCGTAGGCGAACGTAGTTTCCTTGTCCAGTTCTACAACTAACCACGTTATTACTCCACACAACACTGGTACATTTGCTCATAATATGGTACAACATATATGTAGGGGACTAATATTAGAGTTCACTAACATTCCAAATATAAAAGTAATAATCCAAGTCAGTGGAGTGTTAAATCACAATATATTACCAAAAATACAGTGACGAGTTATAGCAACAAAAAGGATTACTTGGATATAAAGTCTAAGTCCTCGGCTACAAATTAATTATATAATCCACGGGCACGTTAATTGTTTGGACTGCGTCTGCTGTAGCTGCTGTGTTCCGGTTGTAGAAATGTCTTCGGTTGAGAGTAGTAGGCTCCTACAATAAATCCGAAATATACAACACGGTGTGAGTGGAGCAAGTAAGCAGAAGTGACCAGGGAGAAGACGAAGTCTCCAACAGCAGAGTGTATTTTTCAATTGTACCAGGAAGTTATGTATATTTCAACAAGAAGCGTTTTAAACAAAAATTATGTACAATATCTCGAATTTATACAAGTAACCAAAAAGTGTACAATCACATTGTTACGTACTCCACATATACTGTTAGATATGACTGTTTGACATTGAAACCTTGGGAGTTGATTTACTCTTCGAAGAAGGGTTTGTGAACATTATAGTCCTTTTTCTTGAATATCTTGACACAAATGCACTCATTTAAACTCCCTTACCAAAACTTTGAGTGTGAGGTGACGCTACAAAACTGGTTTGTAATGACTTTTCGTTAAAGGATAAAGAGTGAAATAGTAAAATCTGATTATTTTTTTATTAATATAATGGTATGGTTGATTTCTAGTACTAATCTCTACCAGCTAAAAGCGATAGCATTATAATCGTGTTTTTTATTGGACTTGAGTTAATTCGTCTGTCTTTCAGCTAGGAATTCACTTAAAACTAAGCAGTAACTGCTTCGTCCTGACCCGATTAAAGTCTCTTCTGAACACACGTCCTCAATAAAAGTTGAACTTGGAACAACTAGTTTCCTAGCAGAATTCTCAATGGAATCTATTTTAAAGAAAATAATCCTGTCTCACTGTGTGATACATTCAATAAATGAACTAATGTAAAGTTTATTCTTATATTCATGGGTAGAAATGATTGACACAGAACCTAGTAATATTATTAAGTAATGGTATAAATTCCTTCATATATGTAAACATGTCCTGGTTCTTCCCTCGTGTTCCTTCTTAATTTACTAGAGTTCCAGTAAATCTAACCAGTCAAATTAAACTTCGCACTATTTATTTGAGGTAGTTATTAGTATGTCATACTACTAATTTTGACAACTTACCACTTTTCTTTAAGGTATCCTTTGTAGCAATAGTTCCATGGTTGAAAATATGGGGCGATGTGCAAATATTATTCAGACAAATAACCATTCCTTACAATAGTTTTTAATTTAGGAGACTATTCTTCGTGTTCATTGTAATCGTGGATCCAGAAGTAGCCTGTTTTCATAAACTGCTTATGAATTAGTCATGGTGCTAGGAAAAGCGAATCTATGCTAGTGCAATAGTTTCAACACAGTTGTCAAACTGGTAATTTTGTTGTAATCCGATAATGAGTATATAACTCTAAGTGTATAAATTAGGTATTCTTTTGTCATCATATTCATTGGGTTCACTTGTGTTGTTAATTAAAGTTGTCTGATCGTTGCAGTACATGTGCATGTACGCGTTTTGTGAAGACAGACATGACATGAGTCTTCTTCGAACTCATCAGCATATGTGTACGCCATAGCTCGTAGTCTACTTTAAGAATTTCCAGGTGCTTCCTCAGTGTCATTTTTGGGACACTATATACTTTTACCTGTGCATCGGTGGCACAGCGGTTAGGACGCTCGCCGACCATGCATGTGGTCCGGGGTTCGATCCCCAGCCACCGACGCACTCCTTAACTTCGCTAAGCCAGTAATAAACCTGGTAAAGAGAAAGGGTTGGGGATGAAGCTAGCAACCCCATCCTGTAAAAATAAATACTGCTACAGAAACTTCAAGCCTCTAGATTGAAGCCCTATGTTTCACTGGGAACGTGAAGGAATTTGCATAAACACTACTTAAATATGTTAAAAGCGTGATTTGCGCAAATCTTGAAACATGCGCGACACTGAATACCATATTTTGTGGCTTATATGATGTGATGGTTTCTTGTATTCTCTAAGATAACAGTATCGTTTTGAGTCGTAATTCCATGCTTGAAGCATTTGACTGCCAAACATCGGGTGGTGGATTGGACGTATTGAGACTCTAGATTAGTTGTGTAGCATTATTTACCTTCGCATAGTAAGTTTGGCTAAGTTATGTGTTTGGTAAGTCCCGTTTTTTTATCCTTCGTAATTTCGGTGTGTTTCTACTTCGAATGATGATTTGTAAGGCTTTATTTAAAATATTGTCTGGGCCTATTTATTATGATAAGTGATTAGAGTTAACAAGATCGAATCGTTGTTCTGCAAAGTTTTATGCGCTGAAGAAGTCATTTTGACAATTTTAATTTGATTATACATTAAATTCGGGAATATTATGGTGGTCTCAAGCAAGTTGTGATTAATAAATTTATTTGAAAAACCAGAGTTTTCAAATATTTCGCCTACCACTGCATAGAGAGCTTAAACTGGAAACATTATGCGTTCCTTTTCGCAAGGCATTTTATTGCATCTTTTAACGTCCAACAATCCATAAGCTTATGTAACTTGCCTCAAGCAGATATTACTTTAGTTGTAGTCCCATTCAAATTTTGTTAAATTTCAACTGCACACCATCGAGGCTTCCATTTTTCAGCATCATAAGGTAAACTTTGATGATTGTCTAAGTTTGCATTTTCTGTCGGTACCGATGCTTCACACATATTGTTATTGTTTCCGTCTCATTGAGGCGTCTTACATCTCATTAGCGTCAGTTTTATTATCTTTCTTAATTTTTTATGTGCTTGTATGAGATCAATGTGTGTAGACAGAGTTCCAAGTAGCTATTACTCTCTATACTAATATTATTCAACTTATTGTTTTTGTTGCAGATTTTCTCTATTCGACCTACATTGAGTAATATATCTGATTATGATCTGACATTCACTATTGCTGCATTCATTGTGAATACCCGATAGTAGGATGTCAAGTGGTCTGTTGCTAATCACATAAGTGATAATTTACTTTACCTTAGAAGACACATGTCATAATTTATTTTTACAATACTATAAAGCTTGGGGTGGAGTTGAAGATTATAAGTCAGACAATCTTGGATTTCCTGAATTTTTTCAACGTGTAAGTGCGTGTGTGTATGAGGGTAAACCCTTGTTAATTGCATAACTATAGGTACCACAAGATCATGAGATTTTACCGGCAAAATTACGAGAAGATGCAAGGTAAGTGCTACTCGAGAAACTTTATCATGCTTAGGTCTGCTTTATTGGAGAGAAAAAGTATGGCATTATTGTCTAACAATGAACTACAAGTAAGTAAGGTAGTCTCAAATGACATGTTATTTAAAAAAAATAATAGGAATTCTGGTATCTGTTGGAAAGATTTCACTCTCCGCCTACAGTAAATGGTGAGAAATTTATGAATTATGAGAATTTTCGTAAAGCTGCTAAAGAAGCATCTCCCAAAGCAAAGTAAGCTGATACGGTAGTTTGATTTGTATTTTTGTATGTCTTTTTAAGCTGTAAATCAACCCATATTGTAATATTAAGCTGTTTTTTTAGTTTGTGTCTGTGTGTCTAGCAGAGTGTATTCTGTCTGTTTTCGACATAGAACTTTGCACAAATATGCGGAAGTTCAAGTCGCCACACTCCCTTCTTGTAGCACACAAAGCAAGAAAAGAAAGTACAAGAAAAGCATAATAGAGACAGTAAGCAGAGGTGTGAGACAAAGGAATAGTAATAACGAAGAACAAAACAGTTTCATTGGAAATCATAAGTCACAAGGAGTGGATGCATCTGCCCCAGCCATTGAGAACGATTTTGAGCCATGTCACCAATTGTTTCCAACCATAGATTTTTACCGTCCCGAGGACCCCAGTCTGGAAGTCTACACCTTCCTACGTGGCTTAGACTAACTGTTGTAGATTTCATTGACTGGTGCCAAGTTTTTGTTTGACCGCCGCTAGCCTTTTTCCACTCTGACCCTATATCCGCTAACATTGCTAGTCGAGAGAGGCGATGGCTTGGCATACGTAACACATGTCCTAACCATCTCAGTCTTTGTAACTTCACGACTTCGTCGATTGATTTCCCCTGTTTACCTAGAACTCGACGCCTAACCTCAATGTTGCTCACCTTATTATGCCACTTCATACGGGAAATAGAGCGCAGGCACCTATGATCAAAGGCAGCTAGTCTTTTCATGTCTTCCACTCTCAATGGCCAGGTCTCACAGCCATAAAGGAGGGTGGAGCGGACTGATGAGCAGTACACCCGCCCTTTGGTCGATAGACGAATGTCTCGCCTACGCCAGAGACGGCGTAAACTGGCAAATGCTAAACGAGCCCCCTGTATTCGTGCTGAGATTTCGTCAGAGATCAACCCGTTGACACTGGGTGATGGTACTTCCCAAATAAGAGAAGTGGTCAACGTGCTCGCTGTAGTCCAGTCCTGTAACATCATCTTGCATTTGGCGGGAGCGAATCGCATGCCAAACATTCGTAGATTGCGGCTCAAGGTGTTTAGAAGACTCTGCATTTGGTCAGCGTCCTCGCCTAGTAGGACTTTATCGTCTACATATTCTAAGTCAACGAGATTATTCCCTGGTAGCAAGTCAATCCCTGAGTCGCTGAAGTCACTTAGGGTTAAGTCTATTAGTACATCTATGATGAAGTTGAATAGAAAAGGGGATAATGGGCATCCTTGACGGACACCACTAGTCGTCACCAGTTCAGATGACAACTTTCCGTAAGCCCTCACCTGGCTGTGTCAGTACGAGTAGAGTGCCTTAATCAGTGCAATATATTTTCTCGGCATTCCCTTTACAGCCAAGCATCTCCAGAGAACCTCCCGGTCGACACAATCGAATTCCGCCTTTAAGTCAAGGAATATAGTGATTGTTGGACGCCGGTAGGAATCCCTATGTTCCAGAATCTGTCGGAGGGTGAAGATATGATCAATGCACCCTCTTCAATATGATCAGAGTATATTACGAGATATGAAATCTGGAGAATAGTTCATTCATAACACTACATGCAGTTACACGCAATCATACAATAGGATGCGTACGATAAGATGATAGTTTTAAGATCGAATGTAGTCAAAGCTTCGTTTTATATTTTACTGTATGCCTTTCTGTTCGTCGTAGGGTTGGTAGAGTTTTCCAGATGTCTAGCTGGATAAATGTTGAATCATTTCTGTCACATGTATTTTCAGTTGATTCGATAAATAAGGGCTTTCTCCAACCCTCTCTTACATTCGATCTTAAAATTATCATCTTTTCCCATCCTATTGTGAATTGTTGTGTGTAGTTGCATGTAGTGGTATAGTGGAACTGTTCTCCAGATTTTTTAAGAAATCTTATTAGGGTTATCTAATCTGAATTTTCCTAGGATTTTGTACTCCGCTAGGAGTGAAAAAGACTGTAAAACTAGAGTTCCAGAGTTGTGTAGTTATAGTTGATATCATTATGAACAATAATGAATTGTGTTCGAAACTGTGTCATCCAGTAAATAATACTGTTTCACTGACTGTGTTATGTTTAATAAACAAATTAACATGGAATCGCATACTACCATAGTGCCCAAGTTCCACACGCATTATTAATTAATCCAATCTTTCAATTTTTTAATACTCAAGAAGTTGAGTTCAGTCTACGGTCTCTTGAGTCGCTCAAAACAATCCCTAAAATAAATTAGTATCGAAATACAAAATATATTAGCATGTTATTATGTATTTGTAGAGGGTCAGTTGTACTTCATACTAATATTTATCTTATTACTTTTCTTACTGTGGATCTTTACTTCATCTTCAGTGTCGTTTCCTTGTGAGGTGCTTAGCTAATTCTGATAAATTAATTGGGCACTACAAAGGTTCATTATAATCAAGGTTTTTTTGTATTTCCCAATGCATGAATGGAAAACAAAACGATATTACTGTTTTTACTGACGTTTCGCTATTTAATGCTGCTGCTAATAGCTTTCTCAAAGTATTATTAAACCAGAGTTTACCACAAAATCTCAGCTTATATATATATATAACAACTTAATCATCATTCCTCAGCATGGAGTCATTTTTATGTTGTCAAATGGGCCAATTGGTAAAGATAACAGAACCAGGTGTAGACTGTTGGATTTGATAAGTGTGTAGAATTATAAAAGCAGCGTGTGTTTACATAATGAAATTGCCTATCACAATCGTGTTGATTTGTCATTTCATGGATGGAGAGGGGGATGCTGTAACCAGGTGAAATTCTGTTTTCGTCCATCATTCCTATTCAGCTCAGACAATTTGGATTGCACTTGACATGAAATGCTTCTGATATATGAAGAGTTCTTTGTGATTTCTGAAGTTTTTCTGGATGATGGTTTCAATATTGTCAAAATCAATTTTGTGACCTGATTCCATAGTGTGCAGACCTATGGATGATGATTTTTCAAGCTTTTCTAGTTCAACGGGATTTCTCGGTGGTTGAACAGATGTTCTACGGTGTTCATTTCTTCTGACTTCGGTTTCTCGCAATGTTTTTCCGATGTATATCGCATCACATGCCAAGCATTTTATTATGTAGACACAATTAGATAGAGAATCTTTAGGGATTTGGTCTTTTATATGGAGGAGGCTGCTTCTCAGTGTGTTTGCTTTTATCATTTTACACACTTATCAAATCCAACAGTCTACACCTGGTTCTGTTATCTGACCCATCTGACAACATAAAAATGACTCCATGCTGGTGAATGATGATTAAGTTGCTATATATAAGCTGAGATTTTGTGGCAAATTCTGGTTTAGTAATACTTTGATAAAGCTATTAGCAGCAGCATTAAATAGCGAAATGTCAGTAAAAACAGTAATATCGTTTTGTTTTTCATTCATACATTGGGACATACAAAAAACCTTTATTATAATTAATATCATATACCCAATGCCCAAATTTTTTCAAATAGTTAAAAGTGAACTTGGTTTGAACATACACTACACTACAAAGGTTGCCTATTAGTTAAGTCTTCATGTAACATTGTAATTCACTCACTAGTCAAACGAAGAGATATGACAAAGTGACCTCTAAAATAATATCTATGAAAAAATGAGACGAATATATTAGAGTAAAAGTCAACTTAAATATCAGCATGGTAATATTTGTTGAAATATTAAGATTCAGGCTATGAGACTTTCTCGGTTGACATATTATCTCGTGATAGATACTCTCAAAATATATTTTCCCTTAATAAAGTTCAGTATGTAAGGTGAATAGCAACATCTGTGGTTATATTTTTTCAAGATGATAGAGAATATGTCTGGTCTGGTGGTGATACAAGAACTATTCTGCCATGAATCAAACAGCGGTTAAATGTGGTTTTCACCTCAAGCTTTCCTGACCTTATCAGGATATTTTTTAGTGTGAATAGCTTAGTAGTCGGTGAAAATGTAGCTAATTGACGTGAGCACTTACTTGACTTTCAGAAAATAAGTCCCCGGTTCTAATCTCGCCTCATTTGTTTCAGTTCTGACAACTGGATAGCATTAGCTGCCCTCGTACACAATGTGTTTGACTCACAGCTTGGTACCGGGCAACTGAGTTCTAATTAGCTAACTAACTAAACTCATCTAACACCCAGTGACTATTACTTTTTAATAGAAGTGTGCCTCCATAAACTACCTGGTATGGCTGAGGTTGGGCAAATTTAGGTCTCCCTCTATGTGTTTGTTCACTGCGTTCATGTAACGAGGATGTTCCCCAAAAAAGTGGAAGGATGGGTAAAAACGTCTGGCGCTTACAACCGGACTGGGGAAAATACCAGTCTACCTAGAGGGGCTGGAAGTCCCTTATCCCAAACCTTTGGTGTACATGGGCTCCAGAATCCGAGTCAACTAGGTGGCGTGCAAACCTATCTTGCTCGCCGCCAACTATAGGAACGTAGCTCGTGACTCTGCTCCACTGCCTTGTGGATCGGAATCCGAATCGACGACTCGGCGAGTAGCCCCTTAAGACATCCATCTCCTTCGGTCTGGGTGTCCGGGCCCTAGCACAAGTTATGAGATTTTGTGTGACCCATCCTCTTGGTTCTCATTATGTACGTAGTTTTTGTTTTGATAATGATAAATTACAATAAGAGTATATGTGATCTTTGTATTTTTGCTGTAATGTTTCTTTTTGAATTAAGGGTTAATTGTCCTAATTGAATAGAGTATAACTGTATAATTTTTTCCTTGTCACATTAGTACTTTCCAGTCGGTTTTGCTCATATTATTTAAGGTATATAAACTGACGTTCGTGATATATTATGTTAACTTTAGGGTTAAATACAGAGGCATGGGATTTGCTTAGATGGCTGTTTTAATTCTTGCTCAAAGTTCTGTTTGAACTGAGTTACCATGACCAGACTAGGAGCCACACATATATAGTACCCCTATACCAACTGTAAACATGCCTTTTAATCTAATTTGTATACTTGTATTATATGTGTACACAGACCGATTTTATATGTACTTCGCAAATATATGTCAATTTACTGTTGAATATTACCTTGACACAATTTCGAATTTGACTACTGCTATAATACACATTCGTACTCTTCGCAAGTGCCTTTTGATTTACGTTGTGGGCGTCGAGTAGCCAAAACGTCTGCGCACATTAATAAGAACGAAGAAATACTAGAATATATGTGTACGGCAGTTTAGTCAAACAACGCACGCAACACATAGTTTATGAGGCTTGATAATATTACCCAGTTCCGTGAACTGAGATAGGTGGTGCGAGATTCGAAGCCATTGCCCCATTGGCTGTAAGTTGAGTGCTTAAGCCAACTAACCATATCTTCAAGCTCAAAGTTGCACTCACTCTCAAGAGAGTTCACTAAACGACTGAAGGTTTTACACCTTATAACATAATGCACTGGTATTATCAAAGGGAATTTATTCCAAGAAAACTTGTTAGACACGGGTCGTGAATGTTAGTTATATGGTATGCTAAAGGTTCATATCTTTTGCCTCTATTCATCAGCAGTGAGTTAGAATATAAGCCAGAATTATTGTTAAAAACGGACGGTGGTATCACGTGACTGTCATATTCCCAATAGGTTGAGTGAGATTAGACTCACTTTTCGTTTCGATCTGTTAGGCATCAATCCACACCGATGGCCTTACTAGGGGACGAATCCAGGACCTTCAGATTACAAATTTAGTTGCCATTTGGTCACTGGTTAAATAATAACATGTCACCTTTGTAGTCTGGAGGTCATGGGTTCTGTGCTTAGTATGCCCATAGGTACCCATTGTCAAAGGAGCCTTAGTATAAGGCATAATATTGGTTACAGGATTTCATCATGAGCTGACATTGGTTAAAGAACCATTCGAAAACCTAAGAGTACTGGATAGCTGTTTCGTCCTAGATTGAGACTCCTCACAGTACGCACCCATCGGGGCTCGAATCCAGGACCTTTTGGTTACAAGGCGAGCTCGTAGACCATTAGGCCACTGGGATCCGATCCATTCTACTAGTTCGCCTTGTAACTAGAAGGTCCTGGTTTCGAACCCCCCGGTGGGTGCGTACTGTGAGGAGTCTCAATCTAGGACGAAACAGCTATCCAGTACTCTTAGGTTTTCGAATGGTTCTTTAACCAATGTCAGCTCATGATGAAATCCTGTAGCCAATCAACCAAATCCCTACAAACCAATACTTGAATAAGACAAAATATCTTTCTAGTGTTCCGTGTTTCTCAATGATTTTTTTTACATTTCATTTCTGTTATGTTAAGTTGACAGCATTATTCTATCAAGTGAAAAATTGTGTGCATTACTAAAAATTCTTTTTTAGGCAGTATTTCACAGCATCAATATTTGCTAAGTTGCTTCGAGAGGATGAAATGTTATCACGGATCAACATTTTAGCATTTTTCAATTATGTAATGAAGAAAGTATGGCTTCAGCAAACTCATGTTGGTATATCACTGTATGATGTTTGCGGTGAAGGATATTTACGTGAAGCAGATCTAGAAAATTACATGCTAGAGCTAATTCCCACTTTGTGTCAGGTAATTTATTCTTTATATAATATTATATATATATAAAATTGACTGCATTACTCGTCTTGAGCGAGAGCCTGGCGTTACATCCAGTCTGTTGTACAAAGAGTAGTGAAGGCTTGTTAATAGTCTGTAACTAAAGGTCAGTGAGTCCCACTCCACTGGATTTCTGTAGTTTCATCCAAACTGATAATTGAAAGGATGTCTGTCTGTTTTCGACATATAACTTTGCACAAATGTGCGGAAGTTCAAGTCGCCACACTCCGTGTAGCACGCGAAGCAAGAGAAGAAAGTACAAGAAAAGCATAATAGAAACAGTGAGCAGAGGTGTGAGACAAAGGAGTAGTAATAACGAAGAACAAAACAGTTTCATTGGAAATCATAAGTCACAAAGAGTGGATGCATCTGCCCCAGCCATTGAGAACGATTTTGAGCCATGTCACCAATTGTTTCCAACCATAGATTTTTACCGTCCCGAGGACCCCAACCAGGAAGTCTACACCTTCCTACGTGGCTTAGACTAACTGTTGTGGATTTCATTGACTGGTGCCAAGTTTTTGTTTGACGTCCGCTAGCTTTTTTCCACTCTGACCCTATATCCGCTAACATTGCTCGTCGAGGAAGGCGATGACTAGGCATGCATACATAACACATATCCTAACCATCTCAGTCTTTGTAACTTCACGACTTCGTCGATTGATTTCCTCTGTTTACCTAGAACTCTACGCCTAAGGAAGGATACTGAAATTGGCATGCTCCAAATATTGTGAGGACCTAGAGGCTGCTCTTATACGTAGGCTGGCTATAACTTGTCGCTACTATCATGAATACTGATGAGTGACAAAAGCAAAAGCAGTTGAAAATGACATCAGCAATTAGGTATTACCTGACAACTATGTAATCTCATTAAAGAAAAAGGTTGCGAAAAATCTATGGTAAGTCAAATTATTTCTGAGAAGGATGGATAGAAGTTTAATGGCTTCTTAGAAGAGATGACTGGAATTTTGGAGAACACTTTTAGGTGCCATTCAAATGGCCTCACCATCCATCTCCTACATGATTAGGATGTAGACAACGGTCGTCTAATTTTAGCTGATGTTCGGAAAGCTTTTTCCTATGTAAAACGATTCAAAGCAACAGGGCTTGACGATAGGACTCCAGGTGTTTTTGAGGATGATGGGGAAGAATAATTGATCAAGATTATGTACGGGGATCTAAAATAGTCTCTCCAGACAGATGCCGGCCAACGATCACCCTATTTTATAAGAAAAGATACAAATCAGGGACAGCTTAACCGACATAGCATCCAGTATTCTGGGTTTCGAGGCCGTTTCCGGGTTTAAGACTCAGCCAAAACTGCCTTCATAATGCTTTCACTCTCCTATGGGTTTTGAAACACAGGCCTATTCATCTGCTTGTAAAATCTTTGTTGACCTGAATGTGACATTTAGTTCTGTAGACTGAGAGGCACTGTGGCAGTGTCTGGTTGTGAAGAGAGTTTTGACAAAGTTTATATCTCACAAATCAGTGCGGTCTACTCGAACTCATGCAGCTGTGAAAGTGCTTATGGAGAGTTGTCCTTTGAAGTGCTGACAACTAGTGATTTCTGTCAGGGATGCTTAATATCTCTATTTTCGTTTTATTTCATCATTAGATGTGCTAATGTATGCATGTGACCCCGATCGATTTCGGCGATCCACTTGTTTGAAGATTCTCGTTGACTTAGAGTATGCATATGATACTGTCATGTAACATCGCGCTATCCATCAAAGGATTTGTGTGTACTGAAAAGTAGTGAATGTACATCGTTTAAGATAAAACATGTGTTATTTATGTCAGATCATGGCAATGTAGATTTGTAGAGCTGTGGATCATTTGACTGCTCAAAATAACTTTCAACCAGTGATCGAAATATTTTAGCCTTATTTCGCTTACCAAACTTTTCGTAATCAGGTTGTTTCACAGTTGTGTGACACAACAGATCTAACTTACCAGCTTTTTTTTCCTTCATGTTCCCAGTGGAACATAGGGCTTCAAGCTAGTGGCTTGAAGTTTCTGTGTTTAATTTTACAGGATGGGGTTGCTAGCCTCATGCCCAACCTTTTCTCTTTACCAGCATTATTTCTGCCTTAGCGAGGTAAAGGAGTGCGTCGGTGGCCGGGGATCAAACCCCGGACCATGTGCATGGTCGGCGAGCGTCCTAACCGCTATGCCACCGACTCACAACTTATCAGCTTACCATCGTATATTTGATTGTTGAATAATCTTATTGCTTTGGCTTCACATCTTATTGGCTTTATGAGTCTCAATTTTTCTGTTTCGACTGTTTGAAACTGTTTCGAGAGTTGTGCGTGTGTTAATTCAAGAAAGTGTCACACAGCTAAGTGACGTTCAGACATAAATGTTCACAATCTCATCAACCAATTTATCACTTTTATATATTTATGGAACTATTCCGTTGCAATTGACCGCTGTTCTACTGACACTCATCTCTCTTAATTCCTGTAGTCGATATTTCGTTTCTTTGTATTTATTCCTATTGCTTCTTAACCCCACTCCCCCCACTTAAGCAAAACCCTCCTTGCATACTTTCATGAAGTAAACGCTACTTTGACGTGGTGGTCGGGCTTGCATATCTCAATGACCCGACAATCTATACTGGCTGGCACTATTGTTCCTGAAGGTCCTACCACGCCAGGAAGGTTGTTAGAATAGCGATTAGACTAAAAGCGGTTGCCGGCATAGTGTAAGATTTTTTCTTTATTACACTATGCTGGAGGGGGGGTCTGTGGGTAAAAAAGTACTACAGGGGAATAGGGATGTAACAGCCGCAGTAAGGTGTTCCCCCCAGATGACCAGCATGCCAGCCACCTATGCTGTCTCTCCACTTTGAAAAAGTCGACCCCCAAAATTGTACATCCCGACTTACCCAACCTACGCTGGTCGGTAACCAGCGGTAAGTTTACTAATACAGAACCAATCCAAGAAACCAGTTCAGACACCCCGTGTGTGATCGGCCTAAAGCAATTGTCCCCTGGACTCTGCTCTTTCTCTTTCAGGTCCCCAAAGAATCAATCAAATTCCACAGTGTGGGCAGGGCGAAGTAACAACCGCCCACACACTTCCAAAAGCATATGAAGACCTCCTGGGCATCATTCTCCTTTATTCACGCCACCTTCTTCATCTTGCGTCTCTACTACAGTCATGAAGTAAACATTTAATATTCGCACTTCATATCAGCAACGCCTCTATTCTCTTTGTCGGTATATCCTGAAGATGAGCGCAGTCTCTGGATGAGGTCGACACGAAAAATCGTTGAGCGTTCCATAATTCTGTGTGTGGGTGTGTGTCAGTTTCTCGATGGTAGAATGTTAATCGATCGCGCACATGAATCAGGCTTCGAGTCCTTACTGACGCACTCCTAAATCTTTCCTGATTTACCAGTAAACTGGAAGAAACGAGAAGTTTAGGTGTAAGGCCTGGTAACCCTATCTGCGTAAAAAAAAAGTAGTGTACCACATCCCTACTGAAACTTCAAAGCCTGAAACTCTATTGTTTTATTCGGAATGAGAGAAATATAAAGGAAACAAAGTCAAGTATGCTGACCAATGATCATGTGTTGCTCAATCTATGATACTGTTTTCTATCGTGAAAAATCATCTACTGTTATTGTTGTCGTTTTCTCTTTTCTGTGTTTTTGTTTTTCCAGCTGTCTGAATTAGAGCCATCCTTTCAAACATTTTATATTTGTACAGCTGTAAGAAAATTCTTCTTCTTTCTTGATCCTCTACGATCTGGTCGTGTACGCATAACAGATATTTTAGCTAGTGGATTTTTAGACTCTATGCTAGAGTTACGTGAAACAACAATATCTGATGTACAGTTAGCAGCTAATTGGTTTAGTCATCAATCCGCTATACGTGTATACGGTAGTTATTTACAACTGGATGATGATCGTAATGGATTGTTAACACGTAGTGAATTATCACGGTAAGGATAAGTTATTATTATTATTATTATTACTTTTTATTCCTTCACCTTCCCAGTGGAACATAGGGCAGTGCTTCAAGCTTCTTCGGCTTTGAAGTTTCGTTAGCAGTGGTGTTTATTTTTACGGGATAGGGTTACTTAGCCTCATGCCTAACCTTTCCTCTTTATCAGTCTTATTACTGGCTTAGTGACGTAAAGGAGTACGTCGGGATGGGCGGGGAAATCAACTGACGAGACTGTGAAGTTACATCGACTGAGATGGTTAGGACATGTGTTATGTATGCCTGCCTAGCCATCGCCTTCCTCGACTGACGGGCAATGTTAGCTGATATAGGATCAGGCTGGAAAAGAGCTAGCGGCAGTCCAAACCAAAATATGGAACCAGTCAATGGAATCCACAAGTTAGTTTAGGCCAGTCAGTCACGTAGGGTAGTGTACACTGACTTCTTGGTTGGGGTCCTCGGGACGGTAAAAACTAATGAGTGGGTGGAAACAATTGGTGACATGGCTCGAAATCGTACTCAGTGGCGGGTGCAGACGCATCCACTCCTTGTGACTTATGATTTCCAATGAAACTGTTTTGTTCTTCGTTATTACTCTTCCTTTGTCTCACACCTTTGCTCACTGTTTCTATTATGCTTTTCTTGTACTTTCTTTTCTTGCTTTGTGGGCTACAAAAAGGGAATGTGGCGACTTGAACTTTTGCACATTTGTGCAAAGTTCTATGTCGAAAACAGACAGACAGACGTCGGCGGCCGGGGATCGAACCCCGGATCACATGCGTGGTTGGTGAGCACTCTACCTCTAAACGACCGACGCACAGGATAAATTATAATTTTAAATTATTCATTTCTAGCGATTATTTTATTTGCTAGTTAAGTAGTAATGTTTTCACCGTGACGTGAAACGTTGCGTTTCTAGATGACCATTTACTTACACTGCTTGTTGACCTTAACTAAAAATAACATTCATGCCCGATTGTTATGTAGCCGTCTATCCTACTAGGCCTGCTCTTTCGCCCGAGAACTGGTTGGTCTCTTTAGTCTGTCCCACCTTAACCTGGTAACCGGGTTTCTCCTAACGTTGTCCCCATAAATGAAGGAAGGACAAAATAACCCTACTTGAGGATGTGCTTAGTTTGATGGGATAGTAAGAAACAATAGGGAGTGTACAACTAGAAGCACTTTCAAACACTGATTGTTCCTGATGGTCTTCTTTGCCCTCCAGCAGTAGAAACGACGGTGTTGCTCCTATTTGGTGTAATCACTATGTGAGTGATAGATTAATTAAGCCCAGAATACTTGTTAGTTGCTGTAGATCAGTTTATAAGGCTACAGGAATTCACTGGCGCAAGAATATTTTGACAGATATGCTACGGATATTTAACCTTCGTATAAAATAAAATACTTCATAATAATAACAGGAATGATAATGTTTAGCTAGAAGAGTGCTCTTTATAAGTGTGCTGTGATTCACTGGTGTGAGTACTTATCTTTCGTCTATAGAAATTTAGGAATGTTATTGATCGCCACACACACACACACAACACATGTGGCACATTCTTTTTGTGCATAGATCTGAAGTTTCAATGTGAGACCCATGAGTCGTGTGTTCGAATCCCGACCCAGATGGATATCTAGGTTCGGGTAACCAGATTGCATTCATTATCAGTATTAACACACAGTTGGTGTATATGGTCGCCTGATTACTCTATCGTGTTTGTAGTTGTTGAGCAATATCCACTATGAAGTCTGTGAGAGTGTTTGTCTATAGTTTTGTTTGCAATCTGTGAGATAGTAGTAGTAGTAATTGCTTGACTAATATAGTATTTAAAGTCTTAGGCTCAATAATCATGCGTAGACTGAGTGGTGCTCGGGAAGCACAAACACGAGACAGCCAGGCAGGCTTTAGACCAGGAAGAGGGTGTATTGATCATATCTTCACCCTCCGACAGATTCTAGAACGTAGGAATTCCTACCGGCGTCCAACAGTCATTATATTTCTTGACCTAAAGGCAGCATTCGACTCTGTCGATCGGGAAGCTCTCTGGCCGTGCTTGGCTGTAAAGGGAATTCCGAGAAAATATATTGCACTGACTAAGGCACTCTACTCTAACTCATACAGCCAGGTGAGGGCTTACGGCGAGCTGTCATCTGAACTGATGACGACCAGTGGTGTCCGTCAAGGATGCCCATTATCTCCTTTTCTATTCAACTTCATCATAGATGTGTTAATGGACTTAACCCTAGGTGACTTCAGCGATTCAGGGATTGACTTGCTACCTGGGAATATTCTCGTTGACTTAGAATATGCAGACGATATAGTCCTTCTAGGCGAAGACGCTGACGAAATGCAGAGTCTTCTAAACACCTTGAGCCGCAATCTACGAATGTTTGGCATGCGATTCGCTCCCGCCAAATGCAAGATCATGTTACAGGACTGGACTACATCGACGCCTAGTTTAAAAATAGGAAGTGAAGTGGTAGAGCACGTTGACCGCTTCACTTATTTGGGAAGTACCATCAGCCCCAACGGGCTTATCTCTGACGAAATCTCAGCACCAATACAAGGGGCTCGTTTCGCATTTGCCAGTTTACGCCGACTCTGGCGTAGACGAGATGTTCGACTATCGACCAAAGGGCGGGTGTACTGCTCATCAGTCCGCTCCGTCCTCCTTTATGGTAAGCTGTGAGACCTGGCCACTGAGAGTGGAAGACATGAAAAGACCAGCTGTCTTTGATCATAGGTGCCTGCGCTCTATTTCCCGTATGAAGTGGCATAATAAGGTGAGCAACATGGAGGTTAGGCGTAGAGTTCTAGGTAAACAGGGGAAATCAATCGACGAAGTCGTGAAGTTACAAAGACTGAGATGGTTAGGACATGTGTTATGTATGCATGCCTAGTCATCGCCTTCCTCGACGAGCAATGTTAGCGGATATAGGGTCAGAGTGGAAAAAAGCTAGCGGACGTCAAACAAAAACTTGGCACCAGTCAATGAAATCCACAACAGTTAGTCTAAGCCACGTAGGAAGGTGTAGACTTCCTGGTTGGGGTCCTCGGGACGGTAAAAATCTATGGTTGGAAACAATTGGTGACATGGCTCAAACTCATCGTTCTCAGTGGCGGGTGCAGATGCATCCACTCCTTGTGACTTATGATTTCCAATGAAACTGTTTTGTTCTTCGTTATTACTCTTCCTTTGTCTCACACCTTTGCTCACTGTTTCTATTATGCTTTTCTTGTACTTTCTTCTCTGGCTTCGCGTGCTACACGGAATGTGGCGACTTGAACTTCCGCATATTTGTGCAAAGTTCTATGTCGGAAACAGACAGACAGACACACAGTAGTAGTAATTAAGCATTAAGTATTGTATGTATCATATAAATTTAACTATAGTTGTACAGATACGCCTAAGTATTATTTTCGCTCACATTGCATATCTTTACTGTTTGTGATTCTCCTTGTCTTTGCCACTAATGCGAGATGTGGTGTTATTTCAGCAGGTTTCAATAGCTCAGCAATATTCACAGCTTATTATTTTTTTTTCAAGTGTTGGTTTGTAGGGATTTGATTGGTTTCAGGATTTCATCATGAACTGACATATCAGTTAGAGAACCATTGGAAAACAGGCTGGGAGTACTGGACAGCTGTTTCGTCAGCCTAGTCTGGGACTCTTCAGAAGTACGCACCCACCGGGATTTTTTTAATTGAAAATTGTGATTTCTTACTGGGCCACAATGATAGATTTTTGTCACCTACCGAGATGTGGGTACATCATTCAGCCGTGAGTCTGAATTAGGGATGAAATGCAGAAAAAGTGGAATTTACTCTTCAATTACCTTAAACCTGTTATCCATCATTTGCTCTATTCCTATTTTAATGGAATTGTTTTATTATTTTCGTGTGGTGCAAACTCTTGGGGCCAGGTGAACAAATTAGTTTCTGAAATATAGTTCCTCCCTTTGCCTAATAAATCACTCATAGAAATTAAAATTTATCGCTTGCTGAGAATGGTCAGTGAGCTCGCCTCCTAACCTGAAGGTCCTGAGTTCTCAACCCTCCCCCTCTTAATCTTATGGATGCGTATTAATGAAGGATGTCAAACAAGGATGAGACAACTATCCAGTACTCTCTCTCTCTCTCTGGTGGTTTTCAGTAGTTCCTTCAACCGAAATCAAATTTGAAGTCAATCAAATCCCTACGAACTATCATTGACTTTTACTGGATAGATAGAAAATATCTAATGAAACGTGTTATTTGTTTGGCTTAATCTCTACATAACTTATACTCTTTTTGATTGGACATAAGTGACTAGCGTGACGTGTCTAGTCCTTTCTTTGGTGCAGACTGAATTCTATCAGTCAGGTTTTGCAATGTGGCCGATTGCCTCCAACTGTCTAATATCATCAAACTTATAATCGTATTGGATTAACATTATGAATAATGGATTGTAGTAGGGATGTGGCTCATTGTCTCCATCATTCAAGTTTCATTTAATTTGTCCCAGGTCCCCGAATCTCGCTGCACTTATTCCAACCTCACATGACTAGCCTAAATGCTCACAGTGTATGTATGGGTCTATAATCTGGTACGTGAAAAATCTGCTATTGGTAAATGAGTTCTAACTATTTATCTGGCTTTAACTGAATTTTACATTTTCTCGTCGATTGATTGGACCGAAGCGCTTGGTCTCAGGTTGACATGTTGGCTTATTGTGTGTAGATGCTTCGACGATGTCTGGGCATTTAATTAGAATTTAATTGGTGGATGGTGACAAGAAGCCGAAACGTCAACCTGAGACCGAGCACTTCGGTCCAATCAGTTGACGGGAAAATCTAAAATTCAATTAAATTAACATGACCCGTTGCACAAGAGGTGGCTCTTATGGCCCAAGTGGTCTAGTGGATAACGCTTTGGCGTTTGAAACTATGGGAACTGGGTTCGGGCCTCAGTGGTGGGAACATCATCACTGACTCACTGGGAAATGCAGGTACATCCACTGGCTGACGAGTCCCAAATAGGACAAAATGCGCATCCTGGATTCCACTGCTAGTCACCATCCACCAATAGAATTCTATTTATCTAGCTATTGTTATCATTATACTCTTAGGTACCAAGTGGAACACAGGGTTTCAACATCACATTTCTATTTCATCCTGTTTCTTTTTTGTAGTTGTCTTTAGCTGTTTCCAAGATTATCCACAGCTTCTCATCTCTTTCTCACATGATCTCCCCCCTCTCACTGTTGTAATGTCATTCAACTATCACTTCAATGTGCCCGTGATCTGTCTCCATCTTCACTGGCATATTTGTTGGACTAACTAACACTGTTTAAGGGAATAAAAGTATCATTAGTAGGTTGTCTAACCTTTTGTTGAGTTGTTTTCAGACAGTGTACACTTATTGTCTACATTATAGTAGACTTAATAACTTAATCTTCTCCATATCTTAAATTTATGTTCCGTTGCAGATTTGGCAATGGTACACTGACTGATGTATTTCTTGATCGTGTATTTCAAGAATGTTTAACATATGAAGGTGAAATGGTGAGTGTTTCAGTTTGATAACACTTTTAGTACTATGTTTTTTTATATAAATTGAACACATTTATAGTTTATTGTTATGAAGAAGTGGGATGCAGACTTTTTAATTGGTGTTAAGTGGTTGGATGGAAGTGTTGCGAAGTTCTGAATCTGGGTATGGCTTTCTGGAGTCATTCAAAGCGGTAGACCCTGATCAAATTACTTCGAAAGGTTTGAACAAGAGCCATACCTAGACCAAGTCTCATCACGGATACAAAAGGCTCGTATGTGTCATTTGCCAACCTACGTCGTCTCCGGCGTGAACGTGATATTCTCCCGGTTATAGATTAAAGGTCGCGTGTAGTGCGCATCAGTTCGCTTTGTCTTCTTTTATGGCTGAGACACATGGTCATTGAAAATTAAAAAAATGAAAAGGCTAGGTCCATTATTGATAAAATTTTATTCTTATAAAATCACACAGTTTTATTCAGTAATATTTACTGATGATGTTTTAAGCAAATTGTGTGGCTTTATCAGAATAAAATTGTATTCATAATGGAGTGGCTTAATGGTATACGAGCTCGCCTTGTAACCGGAAGGTCCTGGGTTCGAATCCCGGTGGGTGCGTACTGATGAAGAGTCGCAAACTAGGACAAAACAGCTGTCCAGTACTCCCAGGTTTTAGCGTTGGTGCCACAGCGGTTAGGACGCTCGCCGACCATGCACATGGATTGGGGATCGATTCCCGGCCGACGCACTCTATTACCTCGGTAAGCCAGAAATAATTCTGGTAAAGAGGAGAGGTTGGGCATGAGGCTAGCAACCCCATCCTGTAAAAACTAAACACCACAACAGAAACTTCAAGCCACTAGCTAGAAGCCCTATGTTCCATTGGGAACGTGAAGGAAAAATTATTAGAAAAACTATCATAATGGAGCTATACTCTACCACAGTGCTCAAGTTTTGTCCTTAAGTCAAGAAAAGGCTAGGTGTCTTTTATCATAGGTGTCTGCGTACTATCTCCCATGTTAGATGGCATGATAGGGTGAGTAATATGGAGGTTGAGCGTCGAGTGTCAGGTAAGGACAGAAACTCAGTTGAAGAAGTTGTGAAGCTACATCGATTGAAACGATCAGGATATACATGTGTTACGCATGTCTAGCCATCTCCATCCTTGATGCGAAATGTCATCTGATATAGAATTAGATTGGGAAGGAGCTAGTGGTAGTTCGACGAAAATAAGGAATCGGTTCATGAAAACTTTAAAACTTAGTTTAAGCCATCCACGTAGGTAGCTGTAGACTGCTTGGTTGGTTGGGGTCGTCGAGATGCTAAAAACCAATGCCGGTTGGAGACAGTTATTGATATGGCCAAAAATCCTTTACAGTGACGCAAATACATTCACTCTTTGTAATTTTCCGTATCCGAAAATCCCCATTGTTTCTCATGTTACTATTCTTTCTTCCTCACATTTCTGCTAATTATCATTCGTCCGAATCTCCTTTTTTCCTGTATGAAGTGTTGCAACTGCAACTGCTGTACTTCTGTGTTGAAACCAGCTAGTCAGTCAGTCAATCTTGTTGCCACTTGTCAACGAGAAGTATCTGTAACTCCGGTGATCCAAACTCCCATCACTCAGTGTTGCAGTGAGAGGCGTTATCACTGAGGTACACGGGCTAACGATTCACCTTCTTTAGAACTGTAATAAATACATTGACTAGTTAGTTTTTAAATTTTTGCTCACTCTGTCAGAGGTTGATGATTTCACGCATTTCGATGTGGTCGCGTCCTCTGAGCTGGATAGTTAATTTGTGAAGCTTTCATCGCCCTACTAGGCGACATCTTCAGCGCACACTTCAATTCGATGGAGTGAGCTTTTAGATTTCTCCAAGAGTTTATTAATCATCTCTCCTGGTGACCTGATCTTGAACGTCGTGATTGCTTGTTTATGTGTGTTTTCACACCCTCTAGGTGGCTACTTGTGGTATTGGAACTGATTGTTTCTTTGACTTGAACTTTGACCCTTTGTTTGTGTGTGTGAGGTTTCTTTCTTATCTATCAGTTGATAAATATTTTGTCTATCTCTATGTGTCCATTGATTGACGATTCACTGGAATGCACGACAGCCTTCTAAAAATTATCCAGCATTCTTGTTGCTTCCTCTGTCTAATATTTGAACGCTGGTTGTACCAGTCTAATTGATGTCCTTATGTTCGTGGATACGAAGACGAAAGCGTCGTCCACTTTGGCCAATGTAGTGTTTTTCGCATTTGTTACAACTTATTTTGTAGATGATGTTGGTTTTATCTTCTTTCGCTGTTGAATCTTTTGGTTGACAAAGAATTGATTGAAGTGACTTTGTTGGTTTGTGTACGACGTCGATTTTTAAGGGTTTAAAGGGTCTTGCAGTGATTTCTGAGATAATCTTTATATATATTTTAAGGCGATTTTCTTTGTGCTTTCCTTGAGGGCTTTTTGTTTGATAGGTTGGCTTGGGGGTATATGTCTTGTGATGAAATTCCGTGGATATCCATTCTTTTGGAAGACGTCCATGACATGATATCCGCTCCCTCATATCACTACATAGAGACAACCACGGACATCAATTCGATTAATACAACCAGCGTTCAAATATTAGACAGGGGAAACAACAAGAATGCTGGATAATTTTTAGAAGGCTGTCGTGTATTCCAGTGAGTCATCAATCAATAGACACATAGAGATAGACAAAATATTTATCAACTGATAGATAAGAAAGAAACCTCACACACACAAACAAAGGGTCAAAGTTCAAGTCAAAGAAACAATCAGTTCCAATACCACAAGTAGCCACCTAGAGGGTGTGAAAACACACATAAACAAGCAATCACGACGTTCAAGATCAGGTCACCAGGAGAGATGATTAATAAACTCTTGGAGAAATCTAAAAGCTCACTCCATCGAATTGAAGTGTGCGCTGAAGATGTCGCCTAGTAGGGCGATGAAAGCTTCACAAATTAACCATCCAGCTCAGAGAACTCAAACACATCAGAATCATCCACCTGAGCTACAAATCTTCTCTATCATATCTAGCTTTCATGCATCTATGACGATAATTCCTTCATTAGTACTTGAAATGAATTGTAAAATCAGGCCAGTAGTCATCTCCAGCCATTGGTGCGTACATAGTTGAGAACCCCAACCAAACTGTCTTCATTTGATATGGCTCAAGCTAAATTGTCAAGGCTTTATCGGACTGATTCCAAGCTTAATTTTGACTACCACATTTGGTTCTGCACACACTGGCTTACAGTTCCACTTTTATCTCTGTGTGAATGACTGTAGCGAATTGCTTTGTTGCAATTTATAAATGAGAAGAATATATGTCTTGAATGTCCTTTTATTACTGATTGTATCACATACGGCCTTGTGGATTAGTGAATAATGCTTTGATGTTTGAAATCATTGGCTCTGAGTATGCAGTTTCATTGGGAAGACAATCATTCACTTGAGAGGCAGGTATCGATCTAGTCGACGAGTCCCAAATAGGACGAAACGTGCGTATTGTGTCCCACTGTTAGCCATTGTCGACCAGGTTGAATCATGCACCACGAGTGGTTTTGTGTTTTTTAAATAAATCAAAGTTTAATCAGTTATCAATTTTTATTACATCAAGGGTCAAATAATGAATCGATTTTGTATATCTTTATCATGATTTATATTTCAATAAAATAATCACCTCCTGCTTAATCGATTTCTTCAAAATCTATTAGGATTATAAAACTTATTTAGATTTAGTACTGGCTATGGAGAACAAACATGAACCACAAGCAATTGCCTTTCTCTTTCGTATTCTTGATGTCGGTGGTCAAGGCAAGTTGACTGCATTGACACTGCGTTATTTCTATGATGGAATCGAGGAGAAACTACTCGCTTCAGATAATGATCCACCAAGTTTTGATAATGTATTGAATGAAATCTTTGATATGGTACGACCAGCTAATCCAGAATACATTACATTAGATGATTTAATCACTTGGTAGGTTTTTGTTTGTATTTTTTTTCTAATTTTTATGGGTTTTATCTGTCATTATAAATCATGGTGTATATGGTGTTAACTCTTTCCTAAGATATTGTTAATAGTATAGTCATATCAGTAGCCTGTTGAACTCAGATATGTAAGGGTTTAGAGAAAACAAGGCATAGGTTCCCAAAGCAGTTTTGACTAACTGGTCTCCTAGAGATTTTCACTTGTAAATAATTGATGACTTCAAATTTGATCACGGATTGATGTTACTCAGAGAACCGTTTAAAACCAAGGAGTACTGGGGAGATGTTTCGTCCTAGTTTGGAGCTCTTTAGCAGTAAGCACGGATGACGTCACCGGCGACCAAACCGATAATCCTCAGATTATAAGGCAAGCTAGGATTCATGGGCTATGGGATTCCATCCCAGCGGCCGAATGGTCAACGAGTTCGCCTCATAACTTGGAGGCCCTGGGTTCAATCCGTGACGGAACGCGCTGATGAAGAGTCGCAAACTAGAACGAAACAACTGTCTAGTTGTTATGTACTCGTCGCTAAATTATTGTTATGGACTGGTCGAGAAACTAATTGTCCTGACGCGAGAAGGCGGAAATCAGAAGACCGCTAGGTTTGTGATGATACTTCTATTGTCCAAACACAAGGAGACGAAAATAAATGGTCTCACACCAAAGTGGTAAGTAAGTAAAGTAGTTGTAAAGTAAAGTCACAAGATTGTGAATGCGAAATATATATGAATGTTCCAGACAAAGCGTGGGAAAAATCATTAGACAGTCTTAACATGAATGGCTAATTATAATGGAGTGTCGATCCAAATATACATAGCGAATATAGCAGACATGTCAAACAACCATATATGGATATATGTCACTAAGCAACGGACTGTCAACAAACACTCATATTATATATAATATAATATAAGGAGAATACACATTAATAAAGGAGACAAGTTCACACAAGTGAAATGGTCACAGACTAACCGAGCAAACAGAAAGAGAGAGCAACATACACACACACATAAATATATATGTGGATACATAGCACTAGTACTCCATGATTTTCACTGGTACCCTAATTAGTATCAATCTGGGATCAAGCTTGAAATCAACGAAGTCTCTACAAACTAGCACTTTAAAATTGATTTCATTTACTTTTACGATGGAAAGGTTGTAGTTCACAGAAACTGTAAATTGGCTGTTACGTTGAGCCATCGCCTCTCCGGTTCAAAAGTATTTTTAGAAATGCAAGTTGGTTACAGCTTTCTCTCTCACATATCACACTTATATGAATTTATACAGAGTTGGGTCTATCCAATAGATGCGTCTCATCATTATGATTATAACATATCAAATGAATGTTGTCAACGTATCTCCTATAAACAGGCACTTCAGGAATCAAATCACTGGGGAGATTTTCTATGTTAGATGTATGCGCATCAGCCAACAAAGGTCCTAATGGACTCCTTATTAGCTACGCCATCCAAATGTTGAAAGTACTCAACGTCAGATGTGTAATGAACATTGTCAGTACATACTATAAATAATAAATCCTTTAAAGTAAGTCAAATGAATAGGAAATGAAAGACAACTAGAGGTTATGTGATCACAAAGAATTGACACCAGAAGGAGTGCCTCCTCGGATATCTTTTATATTCATGTTCATAAAAACAGTCAACAGGTTTCTTTCTAATAACACTATCCAAATTTATTATTTGGAGGAACTAATTGTTTTAAATTTTTGAAAAGGTGACTCCCTCCATGTACTTTAGTACATTGGAAATAAAATGTGGAGTGATAATTAGAAATATATATAGATAAAAGTTAGAGCGAACAATTGTAGTTTCACAAAATAAATTCTTCTGGCAAAGTTAAACTTTCGACACCACTAACAACCAATCAGCAAACGACCCTGAACGGACCAATCACACTAAAGAGGCATTTATGGTAAATGGAAACGTATATTTATAGAAAAAGCATAAAAAAAAGGATAAAACGGTTACAAGGGGTATCTTTCTTGAACATGTGAGAGAAACATCTCCCAGTTTAGCATGTGACTGTCAATGGAGAAGTCACACCACATCCTGTACATATATTCATCTAAATGACTAAATGAGATCCTTTTGAGATCCATTTATAGTCCTTATCCTGTTTTTCAAACGGCCCCAAAAACCTTCAATGGAATTCGTATGAGTCCTCGTAACGGGATTCACCCAGAAAACAAGTGATATTCTCCATTTTCCACGAAGCAATATCTCTGCAATGCTGGTACCACTGAACTGTTCAAACTAGGCTATTTTCCGTTTCGACAGCTGCTGCTCTCACCGACCGTTTCAGCACCCAGTAGTTGCAGATACACAAAATCTGGGTTAGGGAAAGATGCGACCTAGCGAAAAAGTTCCTACGAAATATTAAAATTATCATCTTACCCTCTCTAATGTTAGCACGCTTTGAACATATAGCACAACGATGAACAAATCCATCAGTTGATCTGCTAGAGCTTTTTAAAGTCATGATACCATGACACGAACAAGTTCTCTCCTAAATCCAGGCAATACTGGAAAACACTGTCCTCCTCGAATTGCAACCGTAACCTTGTAAGGTCACACATTAGAAATGAATCAAGCGCTATACAACATTGAACTACGTTCGTGAATCTCATTGTATAATTCGACGTCGTTCGCCGATTGGTAGTTAGTGGTGTCGAAAGTTTAACTTGGCCAGACAAATTACAATCATATCAGAAATGTGTATTGTGGGACAAGTATAAGTAAGATGGATGAGATGGAACAAGTTAGTTAGTTTTTCAATATGCATGGTCAATGAGAACATTAGGTGAAATGGGATGGAATAATTTAATGATGTGTGTATATATAAAAATATATTCAATAAAAGTACAGGTTTCAAGGGTGAGTGTAATCACTGGTGTATGCGAGACAATATGAAAATAAACCAACGAATGGGGTGGACTAGACATAAGTTCAAGGATGAAACTAACGACAATAATAATAATAATGAAATAATAACGATTACGTGGTGTAAACTTAAAAGTACTATTGGTGAATGATTGTCAAATATTAATACTAATAATAATAAATGAACAGGTTTTTGTAAATACGATAACAAGTTAGATAAGTAGTACGTAAACCTAAGGTAATAAGAATCATAAGAAAGGTAGTGAAATCGTAAGAGGTCAGAAATGAACATTTGTCAGTAAAACAAAGGAAAAGAAGAAAAAAAGCGATAGGAATTTAAAGTGCTAAAATGTTTATGGAGGATTTGTTAGCCTTATTGTAGCCTAGCGTAAACATAGAGATTGAACTTACTTCTTCTGTATACAAAAAGCCTGTCTTCTGGTATTTTGTTTGCCACCGCTTCAGTAACTGATAGAAGACATATCCGAACTCCTCTAGATAGATTATCAAGAACGCGGCAAATAACTGAAAATGCCTGGTCAAGTTTTATCGAATTTTATCCAGTATCTACCAAGTGGGCTGAGACTGCACAATTTACGCATTTTGGTTACTCCTTTAATCAACCATACAGGTACACGTTCATGCACATGCATGAATAAGGCCCTCTGAGTACAACCAATGTAACTGGCTCCACATGAGCAGTTGAATTTATACATACACACTGATGAGGCCATCTTTGCTAATTTATCCTTAACTCGTTGTGTGAGTACTGGCTTGATTGAGAAGTTCAAAACAATTGTTCGCTCTAACTATTTTATTCTGAAATACGATATTGTGTAATGTTTCCCCAACAAAACAAAAAAATGCGAGCGAGGGTATCAACTCACTCATTCCTTCACCTCGCTAAGCCAGTAAGTAAGATGGGTGAAGAGGGAAGGTTAGGCATGAGGCTAGCTAGCAACCCCATCCCGTAAAAATGAACACCACTGCTACCGGAACTTCAAACCTCTTACACGAGGACCTATATTCCACTGGGAAAGTAAAGGAGGAAAAAAAGGTATCAGTAAGGTATTGAAGTAGATGAGATGTAAAAAAAACATTATGGATTAAGCTTACTTATAAAGCATATAACAGTTCAGTAGTGATGATGTAACTTAGTGAAAGTGAAAAGATATCTGGTATGTATCCACATGATGTGTGTGTTTTGTTGTTGACAGTCTATTATATTTTGCTATGTGTATATGGATCGATACTCCATTATAACTGACAATATGCTTATGTCTGTCCACTAACTAAATAAACATGTATGACCTTGTTATCACATGACATTACAACCAATCATGGTAAGACGTTATCTTATTGGTTCATGTGTATTAGCCATTTTCATATATACCTTTGTATTAGAATCTTGTTCACACACATTTCGTACATCTAAGTACCCTTCCACTCACACTCTTGTGTGACATTTATTTTCCTTGTCTGGAAAATACAAGTGTCATCGTAAACCTGGTGGTCTTCTGATTTCCCTCTTTCCGCGTCAGGACTATTAACTACTCGACGAGTACATAACAAAATCAACATTTGCATTTAATACGAAACCATATACCTTTATGAAATATTAACAATGCCATTTGAATTTAAACTCTAACGTGTTGTGTTTACTGTTCACGAATTCAATGGGTTCAGCTTTAGGCACATTTAAACTCCACTTTACTGAATTCAACTTCCTCTGACAGGATAACATCAAATATATATCTGTAGTTGTGACCTGTTAGTCATTAAAGCATTGTTTTTCATCATGTCTTTTGACGGCTAGCTTATGATCGTAGATACGAAGACGAAGGGGTCGTCCACTTTGGCCGATGTAGTGTTTTTCGCAGTTGTTACAGTTTATACTTTGTAGATGATGTTGGTTTTATCTTCTTTCTCTGTTGAGTCTTCAAACCTTTAGGAATTGACGTCGTACACAAACCAACAAAGTCACTTCAATCAATTCTATGTCAACCAAAAGATTCAACAGCGAAAGAAGATAAAACCAACATCATCTACAAAATAAGTTGTAACAAATGCGAAAAACACTACATT